ATCATAATTGGTCAACAACTAACGAGCTGCCGGTTTCCTGCCATGCTCATCTCATACGCAGCGGACACACTGAAGATGGAAACACATAAAGAAACTGCTATCTAATAGGCATATTTTCAAGATTTGAACTCGCCAAATAACTCAGTACTCAGATTAAAATATGGCAGGTATCCTTTCTCAAATAAAGCAACATACTTCAGTGTCAGACAGGTCAATCACTGGTCAAATACGATTATCAAATATAATTCCAAATATTCTGGCCCAAACCTGAAATTACTATTTCACTCCCTTAGATCATTTCAGAAATATATTTGAGTATAACTGTTTAGCCGCTATCAATTAGAAAGTGTAACGACACCAGGTTGCCATTTTTGAAAATTCGAAGGCAAGATCCAAGATATCTAAAAGAGTATTTCCAACGACAATCATTTTTTAATCCAAACCTGATAAATTGAACAAATTCCAAAGAAAGAGCATGCCAGCACATATTTAGATTTGAGAAGTGCTCGGAAATGATAGTTTCTTACAGAATCCTTTTGCTTTGCCATTATTGACGGAGCAGATCACTGTTTATTGTCATCTAAAAAAACAGAACAAAACAAAGAACACATTATGGAACAATCAGTAGAGTGAAGTCAAGATAGGAGTGGGTGTAGCATTAGGGATGGGAACGATTATCGAGATATTCGAAATCTCTATCAGAACATATGATAAGAGTTAGATGGAAATACCCATCTTCTCCCTCTCTCTCGGGAGGGCGTGCCTAAGTCTGATTGTACAATGATCAACTCGGAAGTAATTCAATGTATACAGCTGCCCATGCTCAGCTAAATGTTGTTAGCGTCTAAGGTGTTGCTTCCTTGCGCTCCCGCTCTATCCGTCCCTCACCAGCCGGGCAGAGCCAGGGCTGACTCTCTCTCTCTCGCGTCCAGTTATACTTCATTTGCGTATGTCCAATCCATCAGATCTAGCTAACGATATGGCTGCTGCCCCTCCCTACACAGCAGATCATACAGACTCAAACCTCATTTTGCCAGTTCCAGCTGAGAGAGGTACTTACATACACAGCTGGCACTGATTGTGAATCGCTCGACCCCCACAGGACCCCGCCTCTCCCCTGAGTAGACATGGCTCAATACTCTTAAACAAGAATGAGTAATTAATAGCTGCATTCTGTGCAATAGGCCCTGTTATAAAGGTTGTGATCTCTGTTGTAATAGGGTTACGTTACCCTAACCCGTTATGTTGTTCGTGTATGATCCCTCTTTCATTTAAAAAACAAGTTATGTTTTAAGCATGAAAGCTGTAGGCTTATAGCTGTCAACTGTTCAAACTGTGATCAACAGTTCAATACATTTGACAAATTCGACTTGGTTTCTATACTTATTTGAACACGTATGTATTTATTTTTGGTAAATCCCATCCCTAGTTAGCATGCACTATTTTTAACAACCACAGGGCCACACACACACACACCATCCTAAAAACAGAATCAACCGGTGGTGTTTTCTTTATGTAACATTTGTGTTTGGAGTGAAGTGGTGGGACTCTGTTCTTTTTTTGGCAGCAGAGCCATGATGGGCCCCAGAGTGTTTACATTACTCTCTGGAGAATGAGCATCAGCGTATCTTGCAGGGAACAATAAAAGAAGTCCGGGGCCAGCCTTGAGTAAACACATTTAGAGGAGCAACGCGATGGTGTCACGGTGACCCGAGGCCCCTAAATGGGAAATGTTGCTCAACAGTCAGTGCAGAAACAGCCGCTACGCGCGCGTGCGTGCGTGCGTGTGTGTGTGTGTGTGTGCTGGGCTGAAGAGAGACAGAACCTCTGGCCACAGCACTTTCTATCCCTCTCTGAGAGCAGGTGAGGCCGACACGCCGCTGAGGTGAAGCAGAGACACTCAGGTGCAAAGTTTGTTTGTGTAGCTAAGTAACAAAAGTTAAACAGCACCTAACAGAGGCTCCGCGAGTTGTGTTTATGGATGCCGATGTGACCTGGGTGTCACTGAAGAACGAGTGTCTGGGGTGGGATGATGGAGAAGAAAGAAGGAAAAGAGCTTGGACTGTTGGTGCATGGCTATGTGGTTCAACACCCCACTCTAGTGGCACAATTATAATGTGTACAGCTGATGTTAGGCTGGCTGAAATAGACACAGATGGGAGGCCAAATGAAAGGTGTCTCAGTAAGACTTGGAAAAGATCTACATTTTTCCATTTTCCTTTCTTAGTATTCAAATATGTTTTGTATGTATTGTTAGTATTAAAAGAGGAAAATTATTAAAAACTTGGGGAAGTATCAGAAATTCTTATTGTTTTATTTGGTAAACATGCTTTGATTATCGCCATGCTCATTAAACTAGTCAGTGGCCCTCCTGCACTGTATGGATGCTGTATTTATAATGTTTTTCTTTTAAATTTGTCTCCTCAAAGAAAACAAGTTCATACAAGGACTGTGCACTCTACCTTTTCTTTCTGGAAGTCAAATGTTCCCTTGATGCTGCCGTTGAGCAGGCCATTTGCAGGATCTTTCCGGGATAAGACGGCTCCATCCGGCTGCTCCTGGTCGATGATGCTGTCCTGTTTGGACGGAGCCTGAAGGCTGGCTGGATCTTGACTTACGCTCTCAACTTCTGAATCTGTGCTGTAAGTGGAACCGCTCGTGGATACCTCCACATCCTCTGCTGGACCCCTCTCCTCAGAGGACACACTCGCACTAACAGATGTCCCCGAGTCCGTCCTTTTCCGTGACAAAAGCCCAGCGCTGTCTGAAGCCCCGGAGCCCAGACGGGGTCTGACGCCGGAGTCTGAGACATCTGAACCCAGTCTCTGCCTGATGTGGGTCAGGGAGCCGACGCTCCGCTCTGAAGCCCCAGAGTCCAGCCGACCTCTCTGGAAGGGACTCTGGCTCCTGTCCGAGGCTCCAGAGTCCAGCCGGCCTCTGAAGGCTGAGCCCCCGCTCTTCTCTGAAGCCACAGAATCCAGATTGGACCTGGAGAGCCCAGAGGTCGCACTGCGGTCTGACGCTGAGGAGTCGGACCTCTGACGATGAGACAGGACGAGGTCCGGCTCGCTGATCTCAGCCTCTCTCTGAGGCTGGATCAGCAGCGCTGCAGGGCCATCGTCCTTCCCCAGGTGATCCAGATCCAGCACCATGTCTGAGCTGGAGCCTGCAACAGGAAACAAATTCAATCAAAAAGTAATGAAAGCCTTTCTGTACCTTGAAGCTTTCCTGTTACAAAAACAGATTCTCATATTACTTTTCTCTCACACTAGTAGTGAACTTCAGTAAAAAGGGTGTTATTGTCTGTGAGTAAAGGAAAGCAGTAGGTGGTGAAGTATGAGATTGAAGTGATGGATATGAAATACTTCTGTGGGCACAGGCCAGGCTAGAATATACCACTCAGGATCACAGAGGAGGCACGTGGAGACATGAGGGGATGAAGGCATTTCCTCCAGACTGGCTTCAGTTCCTGAGCAAGATCTGTGAGATTGTGTCGGTGGATGTGCGTAGAATAGAAGGAGGGGTCAAGACTAAAGAGAGCGAGCATGTGGCTAAACCATAGGCGGTATGGAGGAAGTGGGGGTGAAATAGAGACTAGGACAAGTACTTCCCCCTCCCCTCTGTCCAGGCTCCTTCACTGCTCCTTCTCTCCTCAGGAAACCACACTACAAACAACACAGCCCACATCCTCCCTCTGTTACAGTCTCTACTTCCAACACCCTATGGTGCTTCAAGTGATGGAATATCTGAGGTTGTGTACGTACCGCAGATAAGGAAAACGGAGAAAACCATGAATGCATCAGATTCCCACATCCCATGAACACACCAAAGCATGAAAACAGTTCTGTGTGAGCTGTGTTAACACTGCAAACAATTGGGGTTCAGGAAGTATGCAAGGCTGTCATTTAAAAAACAATTAACGTGACCAGCAGCCGCGGAAATGCCCTTTAATTTCCAGCAAGACAGGAAGTTCACAGCTTTGTTAAATCTACAGTAGGTAACTTTGTAAAAAAATACTTTAGATATTCTTGATCTTGCCTTGAATTTCAAAAATGGCAACCTGGGTCGTACACTTTCTAATTGTAGGGCTAAACAGTATACTCAAATATATTTCTGAAATGATCTAAGGAGTGAAATAGGAAATTCAGTTGCAGAATCTTGAATTATATTTGATAAATCGTAGTTTGACCAGTGATTGACCCTGACACTGAGTTACTTATTGATCGTTTTAATTCTGCATGTTCAAATCTTGAAATTGCCATAAGGAGCATTGTTTCTCTTCTGTCTCATGCATGACTGTCAGTATACAATAACATTTGCAGCAAATTGATCTAAAGTATTTATTAAATCTTAACACGTCCCAGAAAAAAGTTTGCTAATTTGTTTACAATCAATTTATAAATGGAAGCAGGATGTTGATTAACAGACCAGATGATTATGTAATACAGGCTGGATAGATAACGTAGTAATGATACACAATTAGGACAAAAAATGGCCGCCAATCTCACATGTGACACAATGGTCTGCTTGAGAGCAGTGTCTGAATCTAATGAGGCACTCAACCCAAATGCAATTACTGCTCAATAAACGTATACATTATTGTGCATGTTGTGCCATTGGGAAACGGTCATGTCTATTGTGTAGCGATTTCTTGGAAAATCCCATTGCTGCTGGATAATGAGAGGCTTGCTCTTAGCTCTGAAATAGCTACAGAAGCAGCCTGCGCTTGTGCATTTGGCAGCCAGTCAATATATAGGGCACAAACAAAGGCTGAGTAAGGGTTTTATTTAGCCCTTCACACCGAAGCAATGACCCGAGGAAAGCTAGCATTTTCCGTTGCTGTGAACTGGTCAACAAGCTTTTCTGACTCCACTTCGCCTGCTGGTGCAATGACCCGGGCTCAACATGGGCTAATCACTCCGTGGCTTTTATTGTTACTAAAAAATGTCTCATTAAAAGCATTTACTCTTAATAATGCAACCATATAAAGAAAAGTGACATTGCAGCAACCAATTATTGCAATAAAAAAAAAAGGTGAGTCTGCTTTAGAAAATCCTTTTAAGGTCATATGCGAGGGTTTCCAACCTTATTGGCTTGTAAACCTTCTTAGTGAAGCAATGCCTACTCTAAACTCTTGCACAGGTTGCATATGTGTCAGAGAAAGCACGGTATAATGATCAGATATCCTGCCTTGTCTTGAAGATGCAAAATCCCCCAGATTTGTTGACAGTTCCAGTTCAACCTCTCAGATTTTTCCTATCACCGCTTTGGGGGATTTCTGGTCTAATTTTGGGATACACTTTTTGCACGGTATCACAGTTGCAGACCATGATGTTGTGTGAGTTTCTCTCTTTTGGGAACTCAAGGCACATTCCACTGATCGTCTCTCCGAACATTACATTTTGAAGTACTGCTTAACACATGGTCATTGAGGTAAATAAATATAAGCTTTTTGTCTGAGAGGTATGCGTTTTTTGCTGCATTAAAAAAAAAAAAACCCGCCATGCATGGTCCAAGACAATCTCTTATTTTCAGCTACTTTCTCTCTGCTGAGACACAGCCGCCCACTGAAGAACCGCCGGCCCACCCTGTCTACGCTGTCCTTTCCCAACCACAAACGTCAGTGTCTTTGTTTCCTCTAAAAAAAAAAAAGGCACATTCCTAACCGGCTTTTCTACGGTGGTCCCTTGTTTGTTCACCCTGGTTTCACCCTGGTTTAAATTGTTATGTAGGGAGCGGATAAATCAGGAACAGTGGGGAGTTTCTCGGCCAAGTTCACTCGACCTTAGTTCTGTTCTGGTATCAGCTTTATTTAGCAGAGGTGTGGCTGTTGGGTTTTCCTCTGTTGCTTCCCATAACCCCACCACCAACCCCAGACCCATGAGACGGACACAGAGAGCCAAGTCCAGGGCACACCAGGCCACACAGAATGACACCACTATGGCTGTTTAGGTCAGCCAGGCCCCGAGATTAAATAAAAGAAAATAAACTCTTTCATGTTCAGCCAAGGATAATCAAAGTTAAGTTTGGTGTCCTATATCAGGGGCTTTATCCAATATATAGTTTGCCATAGATGGTTTGATTTGGACAAGCTATACTGTAGATAGGTGTGTAACCACATTTGTGTCTCAATAATGCACTTTTGTCATTTTACAAGCTATTCATAGTCAGCTCTGTGCCTGCAAAGTGTCAAATGGAAGTGAAAGAAGCCCATTCATCCTCTCCTGAAGGTTTGCATTCATGATAGTTTATTAAATGGTGTGGCTAACAAAGTGGTTAATGAAAGGACTTCACACCTAAGAAGTAATTAAGCCTATGGCTGTGAGGTTCTCCAAACAGTTAATACGGTTAGATGAATTAATATGACCTCCTGACCGCCACCTCAGGAGAAAGGCTCCTTCAGCTGAGGCAGGCAGTGGAGAGGAAATTGCATCGAATCGGATGTGTGCAGTCATAAACGCAACAGAGGTGGTCAGTGTTGGCTTCGAATTCTTACACAAACTTGACCTTTAGGTGAATGTTTAAAGCAATCCCAAAAGCGTGGCATAGCTAAAACAAGATCGAAGTGTGTGTAGGTTTTAGAAAAATGGTGTTAGTCAGCGAGTGAGTAGTTTGGCAGTGTTTCTCACCTTTTCTCTGCAGCTCTTTGCTTTGTTGAGTCTGCTGTCCCCTTAAATCCCGGATCTGAGATCGGACACGCTCCTGCTCACTGTGACTCTCCCGCTCTGTCTCCTGGAGAAGAAAAGAGGAACACATGCTCAGTGCATTTCCATAAAAACTCCAGACTACTCAATTAATCGTATTTTAAATCGCGATTACGATTATGGCTTGCAACGATTACGAAAACAATGTAATCGAAATAAAACGATTTTTTTTTTATTATTACTTTTTTTTTTTTTTTTTTTTCCAGTTTAATTATACTTAAAGTTCAGGGTAACCAACTGTTAAAAACATACTGTTAAAAAAAATTCTCCAATAAATGTATGTTTTCAAAGTTAATGAATAATCGCAATTACACTTA